AACTCTGTTTTCTCCTCCACAGATGCTGCCGGACCTGCTGAGCTTTTCCAGCAACTTTGTTTTTGTTCCTGATTTACAGCATCCGCAGTTCTTTTGGTTTTTATACAGGAACAAGTCCCTGCAGACTCAAGGAACATGTCTGGGCATTGCATTTTTTGAATGAAACAAAAAGATGGGAGATAATACTTCCCAGCAGCATTCTCTGTGACTAATCAAATTAATTGGCCAACCAATCATTACCCTCTTGTCATTCAATATAAATTGTTGTTCCCTTTGAACTTTTGATATTCTTGTATTTGTCCTGATGAGTGCAAGATGAATACCTTCAAAAGAATGTGCCTGTCTTTCAGCAATTCTCTTACAACTAGTAGATCCCTTAAATTAGAATCAGTCTGACATAATATTTAATTAATAGTGTGAAAAACCCAAACTAAGGAGATTTCCAGGAATGTCACACCAGCATGTGCTTTAAACACCTTGCTAATTTTAAGCTGAAAAGGGAAACTTTAACTTTCGGTACATGCTGGGCAAACAGCAATGCTAACGTTGATGAGGGTGCAAGATTGTTTGCAGCAGGTCAGAGGGTTTTGAGATCCCCTCAAAATTGCATCAGGAGTCCTACACTCAACATAAGACTGCAACTCACATTCTACAGATCAGTCCCCACCCTGAAACAGGTAGACCTTCTGACCGCTCTGTTCCAAAATGCATCAGAAAGGAGGATGCTTCAGGAGCAGCAATGAACTGAACAGGGAGCAAGGTTCAAGAGCCAACCCAGGAACTGATGATGTGGTTGATTATTAGAAGGAGATCCACCAGGAAAATTAACTCATCAGGAGGGACCATTTTATGAGGAGAGAATCATAGAATCCCCACATTGCAAAAAGAGGCCATTCAGCCTGTCATCTCCGCACCAACCCTCTGAAGAACATCCCACCCAGACCTAGACCCCACACCCTATCCCTGTAACCCTGCACTTACCATGGCTAACCCCCACTAGCCTACACATCCCTGGACACTATGGGCAATCTACCTAACCTGCACATCTTTGAACAGTGGGAGGGAACCTGCACAGACTCTGGGAGAACATGCAAACTCCACACAGACAATGACCCAAGACTAGAATCAAACCCACATCCCTGGAGCTGTGAGGCAGGAGAGCCAACCACTGAGCCACTGTTGGCTGGGCCTGTACCAGGGGTTCCAAAGAATGACAGGAGAACTTATTCAAATATGCAGGACTCTTAGAGGATTTGACAGGTCAATGTGGAGAAGTTGTTTCCCCTTGTCAGAAAGTTGAGACCAGAGGGCATAGCCTCAGAATGAGAGGTTGTAGGTTTAAGACAGACATGAGGAGGAATGTCATCTATGAGCAAAGACTGGATAGTCTGGGATTCTTTTCTTTGGAACAGAGGGCGTCGAGGGAGATTTCATTGAGGTAGGTGAAATGCTGTGTGCTCAGGTTAAAGTGGAGAAGGTGTTTCCCTTGGCAGAGACATCAATAACAGGGGGCATGGATTTAAAGTAGTTTTTTTTTTAATTCAGTCGCGGAATGTGAGTCTCACCTCATTGCCCATTCCTAATTGCTTAGAGAGCAGTTAAAAATCAACCGCATTGCTGTGGGTCTGGAGTTACACGAAGGCCATTCTGGGTAAGGTTGGCAGTTTCCTTCACTAAAGGACGTCATTGAACCAGATTGATTTTTCCAAAAATCAACAATGATTACGTGGTCATCAATAGGCTGTTTAGACCAGAGTTTTATTGAATTCAAATTCCACCGTTTAATATGACAGGACTCGAACCCAGATCCCCAGAACATTACCTGGGTCTCTGGATTTGAAAGAAGGTTGAGAAGGGAGATAAGGAGGAATTGTTTTTCACTCAGAATGTAGTAGGATTCAGGAACTTACCACCTGAGGCACAAACCTTCATCTTTAAAAAAAACACTTAGATATGAACAGGAGTTGAACGTACCGAGTGCAAACAGAGTTTGAAAATGGTGTTAGGTGGGATCACTGTTTCTCAGCTGACCCATGCACCATGATTTAAATGGCCTCTTTCTGTACTTTTGTGTTTACTCACTCACTGGAGCCATTAAATGTCCAGTAGTTTTCATCAAAATATCCAACTTCTCTGGTATGTATAAGATCCACATAACAGGGGATAGTTTTATCCTTGTGTGATGGTGTAGCCATTAGAAATATAAACAAGAGAAACATGTAGAATGGATGGCAGATTCACAATTATCCACTTCATATTGCTATACAAAGACAGAGTTACTCCCACTGAGTTTGTTCACATGTGAAAAACTGCAAGCCGGCCCATTGTACAAACTCTTCTATTTCCAATGAGAAGGACTGATGATTATGTCTCATCTATATACAGGCACATCAGTAATACAGCTCACAGCTAGTGATGCTGATGACCCAACATACGGAAACAGTGCTCGAGTGGTGTACAGCATCCTGCAGGGACAGCCATACTTTTCGGTGGAAGCAAGGACAGGTATGTAACTACTTTTACACCTCAGTTTTCAATCCCAAAGATGCTGTGTGCAGCCAGTTGTGTCTTTGCTTTGATATTGGATTCATGGTGGATCCCTGTGTTTCTATACCAAGCACCTACAGAGACTCCTCTTCCCCGCCTCCTCCAGGCTCAATCTCCAACAAACAGCTTGGATAAGATCTGGAACACAGGAATTGAAAGGATGGTTTCAATCAGATTCCAGAGGAACTTTCAAAAGACATTTACTTAAAGATATGCATTTACAGGGTTATCAAGAAGTGTTGCATATTTTATGCGTCTCTGAGCGATGCAGAGGTGATGTTTCTGTGCAACAGGTTTATTTACAAGAGTTTATCCTCACAATCACAAAATATCTGTATCACATTTCTCCCAATCTTACCTTTGAGAAACTTACGGAACTTTCTATTGTGTCTGGTTTACTTTGCTCTGAGTTAACGACCAGGCTTAACCAATCCAGCACAGTGAACGTAGATTAATTATCAAACTCTCATAATCAGATACAGAACAATTGAACTCTACACTTTCTTACTGGATTAAATTAGACAGGTCATTCAAATAAGCATGGCTGCCTGAATGGCCTCAATCCACATTGTAAAATTATATGATTGATTGATTGGTTGATTCCATAACAGTGAAGCATGGAAGATTTCTTTACATCAGCAAATTTCCATCACATTTTTGTGCCATTTTGTAAAAAAGGAATGTGACAGAGGCGCCAGAGCACACACACACTTTTAGAAATATCACAACCAGGCTCTGAGAGTCTCAGACAAATAAGAACTAGTCACTTTTCTAGTGGAGCAAACCCGGAGAATGCTAGAGAAACTTAATGGATCTGGTAGCATCTGTGGAGAGAGAAACAGTTAATGCTTCAAGTCCAGTATGACTCTTCAGAAGAAGAAGCTAAATCGGGCTTGAAAGGTTAACTCTGCTTCTCTCTCTACAGAAGCTGCCAGGCCTGCTGAGTTTCTCCAGCATTTTCCACACTTGTTTCATATTTCCAGCATCCCCAGTATTTTGCTCTTACTGTACTCATGTAGATATTTTTAATAAATTTGTTCACACGTGTTATGGCACAACTCTGGAGTATGTGGGACATGAACCCAGGCCTACTGGCCCAAAGGTAGGGACAATACAACCATACTACAAAAATATAACTAATCAAATAAATGTGTTATTACACACCCCTGGAGCAGGCAGGACTTGAACCCACAACTTCACAAGGGTCCTCCTATTCCATTTAAGCCTAAGAGCATTTATTGACATTTTAAATACGGTCCAACTGGGTTTTACTAGAACCTTCCTCCATCTGGTCTATTCCATCTTATCTGACAGCACTGATTATTTGGAAATGGCTGTTAACTCCATAGGCTTCAGCTCCAACTCAAAATAACCAATACCTTACCTCTCCTCTTGACCTCTTATCCCCTGCTATGCTCGCCAGCCCATTACATTTTACGTTTCCTTTCATATCATATGCATTTGTTTTGTAACAGGTCTCTCATAAAGCACTTTATTAAATACCTTCTAAACTTCCATATACAAAACAAAAATTATCCATTACATTCCTTTCGTCTACATCACAAAGCATTCCCTCGAAAAAGATTAAAGCAAGTCGATCATTTTTACTTGAGCCTGAAGAGGTCCTACTGTGTTTAAGACTGTAGGTATTTCTTCACTGTCAAACCTGAAACAGAACTGAGTGGTGGCCAGAAAGGTGGAGAAACCAGAGAGTGAGGAGCACATATTCTCATCCCAATCACAGTCCCCTTTTCCTGTACCTTTCATATTGTGAGCACTTACATGGAAACGACATCCCTGTTTATTTCATCAACCCACGGTCACTCTACCATGATCAATAGCTAATTGTGTGGTTTCCTTTTTAAGCTTTGCTTGGGAAACCTGGTCAGCATCGACAAGTTGGACCAATGGATTTGTTTCCATGCTGTATGACTATAACTCCATGTCTAGAGAATGTAGCTACTTGCCTTTTCTTGTATTATGTTTGGATTGAGTTGCTGTCTATTTTAAAGTAATGAAGAGATGGCTATAAATTCAAACAGTTCTTGAATTGCCGAGTAAAGAATTAGAGGAGGCTTGGGGTCATAATATTCCTTAACTAAATTTGTCAACTCTAGAAAGGTTTTAGTATCTGGTGCCTCAGGGAAAGTTAGACGAAAAAGCTGCAAGTCCACAAGGTGTCAGGAGAATTACTCATTGCCCCAATGTCATTTGCCCCGAAAAAAATAACACATTTTTTCCACATACCGGGTCCAGTTATCGACGGCAGGATTGAACAGGTCAAGCTTCTCAAATAATGGCATGATGCCAGAAATGCTTACCCCAACTCAAAGACAACTGCTGCAAGCAAATTTCTTCAGGAGTGTGTTTTACTCTCGTCACCCCTGAAATAGTGCCATAGATATCCTGTCACCAAGTCACCTTTTATTTACACGTGGAAAGTCCTTGACACTGATCCAGCTGCATCAGGACCAGCTCTCAGAGTGAACAGAACTCCTGCTTACATCTGTCAGCCAGGGCTCCCAGATTGGAGCAGATTAACAGCCCCAATCAGAGAGCTCATATTCTATGAGGTCCACCTGACTGACCTCGTTACAATCACTGAATTAATGTTCAGAGTTCAAGACCCACCACAGGACTTGTACACAAGGCTCATGCTGATACCAAATGCACTGTACTGAGGGAGCACTGTACTGTCAGAGGTGTGGAATTTTGATAGGATGCTGCACCCCAAGTTCCACCAGCCTGCTCGGGGTGGGGGCGGGGTGGGTTAGAAGATTCCATGCCCCTGTTTTTTGATAAAGAGCAGTTGAGGTTTATTTCCAGATGCCCTGACCAATATTTATCCAACAGCCACTATCATGAAACGAGATTATCTAACCATTGTCACGTTCCTGTTTGTGGGAGCTTGCTGTGTGCAAATTGGCTGCTGTACCTTCTACATTGCACCAGTGACTACACCTCATTAAGGATCTCATTGGAGGTAAATATGGTGATACACAAATGTAAGTTTTTCTTTGTTTTCAAAAAAAATCGGAATTTATCTGACAGCCCATTTTTAAATTGCAATTTTAATGACAGTTTTCCAGGTTAATCGCAGAATGGGAATATCCTTCGACAAAGTGAATCGAGTTTCTGCTACTAACCCCTGCTGATGGTTTCTCAAACTACAGTAAATTGTGAAACCTCTTTAATTTCCCCAGGTATCATACGGACAGCGTTGTCAAACATGGACCGTGAGGTAAAGGATGGATACCAAGTGGTTGTACAAGCAAAGGACATGGGAGGGCAAATGGGAGGGTTATCAGGGACAACAACTGTGAACATCACACTCACAGATGTCAATGACAATCCTCCAAGATTCCCTCACAGTAAGTACCTGTGTCATCAATTGCTTCAGTTACTATACGCTTACCACAATTGTAAAAATGTTTGAGAAGGTGGCTTCACGAAAAAACCCGAGTTTGAAAGAGAGGTTCTTTTACACGGAGGGGGGAGCTAAAGACATTATTATGTCAATATTAAAATAATTGTGTGGTTTCCTTTTTCATTATCTTCTAATCAACCCAATCAGAGATACTAATGTACACTTCTAGAGGAGGAGAGATTTGAGACCAGACCTCCTGCCTCAAAAATAGGGTCATTACCACTGCACCATAAGACCCCTTTTTTAGTGTCTGTATTGATTAGCAGTTGGGAAACATTTATCAGGCGTTTCAAACTTTATGACACAATTGATGCAACCAGTTTCAGTGTACAGATATTTCTAATCAACCTGTTGAGGCACATTACTGGAGCATGTAGGATTTGAATCAAGGTCTCCTGGCTGAGAGGTAGGGATACTACCGCTGTGTCACAGGAGTCCTGCAGTTTCAGTGTATGGTCATTGTGTGTAAGTCCAGTGAATCCTGCTCAGTTTTTCCAATTGCTCATTGTCCTTTCAACAATTCTTTTCAAAAAATGAATTAGTGACTCTGAGAAAATGTGTCCCCTGTTGTATGTTGGTTAGTCAGGCTTTGGACAGATTTCTGAATCCTTACTTTGTTCAAACAACAACTTTTTTATTATATGGTAAGGAATTAGACACAGTTCTGCATGACCAGGTCTAAATTATACAGTTGTCATGGTCCTCAAAGTCTCTCAGTTATGTGTTTTCTCACATGATCAATATTAGAGGTTCCAAATCTAAACTTTATAAACCCTAAAACTACCCTCCAAGGTGATTCATTCTCATTCCTCACAATTTTGCAAGATATTTCACAAGATATTCAATAGTGACAAGGCCCTGTGTTGTGTGCCCTATTGACTCTTACAGAGAAGTTATGATTAGTAATGTTTCATTGACCAGGCAATTCACAGTTCCCAAAAGGGAGCCTTTTCATCAATCTGTTCAAAGATGACATGCCTCAGAATCAGGTGGAACGTGGGGCACAGATGTAGAGGTACTATCATTGCCCCAAAAGAACCCAAGGGGGAGCCTGTAGATGATTTCTAAACAATGTGTTCAGAGATGTTATGACACACCTCCAGAGCAACTGAGACTTGAATCCAGGCCCCCTGGCTCAGAGGTAGGGATGCTACCACTGTATCATTAGAGACCTGGGGAGCAGCATGCTTTGCCCATAGAGCATTGTAAAATGATTGCCAAAAAGGGAGCCGATAAATTCTGAATGCTAATGATGGTCTCCTGGCAATTTATACTCAATGAACACACATCAATCATTTCAGGAACACCCAGGACACCAAGCAATTTAACATAGCAGGCAGACTTGTAATGGTTTCCAACAGTAAGGAGCCTAAACCATAGACTCATTGCAGTCTTTCATCTTTCGAAAAGCTAGTGTTAAACAGCCCAGTGTATTATGCAACATCTTAAAAATGGGGAAGTATTTAAAATCATTTAAAAACTTAATTTTACTTGCACTACAATTGAAAGAACTTCTCAACTTAAAATATAAGGGATTTTAATTCCACTCAGCAAGTTCCAGCAAACAGCAATTTGATAATGGATGGATTTTCTCTGTGATGTTGATTGAGGAATAAATATGACCTGGGACACCAGGGAAAACACACATGTACTTCGTCAAAATAGTGCCATGGGATCTTTCATAGCAAGCCAAGTGGATAGAGGAGGCCTTGGTTTAGCAGCTGATCTGAAAGTCAGCACCTCTGACAGTGCAGTACTCCCCAGGACTGCAACACAGAATCAACTGGACTTTGTTATGATCAAGCCATAGAATAGGACTTGAAGGCAAAACTTTGTGACAGGTATATGAGGGAATACCCTTTGAATCTATAAGACAATCCCTTTTGATTGACATCTGACCCCGCCTACCTACTTTCTCAGTGTATTCCTGAGATCACAAGACAATCTGGCCCTCACTCGTATTTATTGTCCATCACCGGTTAGCCGAAGAAGGCAGTGATGGACCTTCCTCTTGAACCAGTGTAGACCATAGCGACATTCTGGGGCCATTTAAGAGTTAATCATGTTGGCATGGGGTTGGAGTTACATACAGACAGCTCAATTAAAGATGGATGTCCTTCCTGAAAGAACAATAGTGAAGCAGATGATCATTTTCAACAAACCGACAGCCACATGGTCGCTTCCACCAGCGCCAGTATTTTATGTGTGGATTCTATTTATTTAAGAAATTGAATTCGGTCTCTCATTATCACTGTAAAACGCTCTGATTTACCCAGTTGCTAATAACAAGAGTGAGTTCATTCATCCAGAATGGCATTAAACTCATTCCACTGTAACAGTCCGCTATCTTCTATATGAATCCAATGATTTTTGTCCATTCCATTAGTTGGTTAGTCTTTAGACAAAGAACATCCTGATATCACTTCTAAAGTCACCTTTTGCTGGTTTGCACATATGTCCCTTCATCTTACTCCCAAGGTTTTAAGTTTTATTTTAATTTATCTTTTTTACATCATTTATTAAGAAGGTTCAGTGGTGATGACCCTACCTCTAGGCCAGAAGCCCAGGGTTTCAAATCCCACATCCCAAATCCCACCTGGGGCAGGTGTGTTAGTAACATGGCCATTCAAATCACTTATTATCCTGTAAATCCTTCTGATAAATCTGATTACAGGTGGTAAAGCTGAAGAGGTTCCTGGGTCAGAACCCTTCAGATAGCAATGGAAAACCATTGCGTCCCTTTGCCCATAAGTGGATATTAATCCAATGGAAGACCATGGTTCAACCCTTGGGATAAAAAAAAAGGCCTGTACCTTTAAGAAAGTTACAATGCTTCGCAACATGTGCCATTCTGATATAAAGGTACCTGTCTCAGGTTCAGTCACTTTCTGTGTAACATACTTAGTCTAACGTACAGTAACATGTGTGATATTGTAGCCAAGATACCTGTCTCAGTCAGAAGCCAACTCTCTGCAGTATACATTATGCAGGCTGACAAAGAGAAAACCACACATTTCATCAGTCACATCATTTGCTATTTTATAAATCCCTATGTGATCACCTCTTCCAAAACCTGAAATGTCTCTGAGCTTTCCTGATACCTCCCATGGCACCAGATACATAAACCTGTGGTAATAGCACTAGACTAGCAATCCTGAGGATTGCAGTGACACTGAAGAGACACATTTTCAAACGAGGAGCTGACAAAATTTCAGCTGAGTTAATAAACTGTAGTCTCAGTATTGGAGATCATGAGGCTACCAGATTCATTGTAAAATCCCACCTTCAGGAAAGGAAACCTGTGCAAAATGTGCAGGCTATGTGGATTGGTCATGGGAACTGTAGGGTTACAGGGATAAGGTAGTGTTTGAGTCTCGGTGGGATGCTCTTTGGAGGGATGCTGCAGAATTGATGGGCTGAATGGCCTGCATCCACACTGTAGGGATTCTACAATTTCATGATTTTCACCTGGTCCAACCTACCTCCAAACCCACAGTTTTGCTTAAAGTTGGAAAACGATCATTTGAAAAAATATCTTGCCTTTACTTAGAAACATGTCCATAAGTGCTTAATAGATTAAATTTGGCAATCTCATTAATTTATTTTACAGCAAAATCACAGCAGCATAAGAAGGGCATTGCTGGGATGCATACGTCATTTGTCAATGTCTAAATCTCCCAAAAGGGAGTGGGGTCAGACTGAACAATGATTAGAATTTTCTCATAGAGCCACTAGGGGGAAACCTGATGCTGTAGCACAGTCTGGTGCCCAGTGGATTCCTCATTTCAGTTCTAAATCTTACAATAAACATTGGCTTTCTGATACAGCATCTACGCTGGAGATAGACAGAACTTTGATCCATAAAGAAAACACAATTACATCTCATCATTCAATGCCAATTTGAAAAGAGCTATTATATGAAATGAGTAGTTTCTCTTAAAGTTAGAAATCCAAATAGTAGGTGTGGGCAACGACATTAAATAACGAGGTGAAGTGCAGAACCCATAACTACATCATAAAGTTTAATAGTTGGCGAGTTAAGTAAGCTACAGTGAACGGTAACATGGTAGTCATGCAACAAGACTAGTCATGTAAAGGGCCAGATTAGAGACATGAGTGCAAATCCCACTATGACCGTCTAGACAGGCTTAAATTCAAGTCATTAAGAAAGCTGGGACAAAATGCCGTGTAATGATTGAATCGGAGATAGTAGGAACTGCAGATGCTGGAGAATCCGAGACAACAGGGTGCAGAGCTGGATGAACACAGAGATAGGGAGGAGGTGTAGGGGCTGGAGAGGGTGACAGAGATAGGGAGGGGTGTAGGGGCTGGAGGGGGTGACAGAGAAAGGGGAGGGGATGTAGGAGCCTGGAGGGGGTGACAGAGGTAGGGATGGGGTGTTAGGAGTGTGGAGGACAGGGTGAGGAATGGAGAAATTGAAGCACAGGGATTAGAGATATAGAATGGACATGCTGATGGACTGGAAGGGACCGGTTCAGGTCACAGGGAGGGTGACTGCTTTAGGGGGCTGCTTGGCCTGCTGTGTTCATCCAGCTCTGCACCTTGTTGTCTTGCAGTGTAATGATGTTTTCTTTTAAAAAGTCATGAAACTAGTGGCTTGTTGTAAAAGCATTTATTAATGCAGGAGGTCCCCAATTTATGACCAGTTGTACTTAACAACATGATCCCAAACAGGAGTGTAGTTTTAAAGCCCCGTCTTACAGGTTTCCTGGACTTACAAGCAGTCGGTCTCCATTGTCCTGCACTGTGTTCCAACTTGTGTACAATTCAACTTCCAGAACAGAACCCATTCTTAACCCGAGAACAGCTTGTATCATTCAAGGGAGGGAGCTCTGACCTACACATGCCCCCAAACCTCTGGCAATGTATCTGACCATTAATTGCTCTTTGAAACAGCCCAGGCCGGTCACTCACTAGTAGATGGCAACCAAACACTAGCCTTACCAGCGTTGCCCACGTCCCTAGAATGGATACTTAACGAGTAGTTATGTGTGTGCTTTTATCCTCCATCAGGATTATATCAAATGACAGTTCTGGAGACTGGAATGGTTGGCTCAGCAGTGGGAAGAATTCTTGCTGAAGATGCAGATGAGGGAATAAATGCCGAACTGAGCTACCGGATCATTGATGGAGACAGGATGAACACGTTTGACATTGTCACCGATAACAGCAACCAAGTTGGGATTATCATCCTCAAGGAGGTAAGATCTTTCTGAAACAGAACTAGAACAATGTCAGGCTGGAGTCTACTGTGGCCTGGCCCTGACAGAACAACAACAACAATTTGTGTTTACCTGAATCACAGTAAAACTCTCCAAGGTGTTTCACAGGAGTATTATAAGGTACCCTTTAACATGGAGCCACATACTAGGTTAGATGACCCAAGGCTTGCTGACATTGTAGTTTTTAAAGAATGTGATAAAGGAGGAATGCGAAGTGAAGAGGCCGAGTTGTTTAGGGAAGGAATAGAGCTTAAGGCCTAGGGCAACTTGGAGCCTGTCATTGAGGGAATGACTAAAATTGAGGATATTCAAGAGGTCAACATGAGAAGAAGACAGATATTTTGGAAGGTTGTGGAGATGGAGGAGATTACAGAGACTGGGAGGGTTGAAGCCATGGAGGGATTTGAAAGCAAGGATGACAAATTTAAAATCAGAGTGTTAGATGAGTTCACGTTTATGGAGGATCTATGTGGGAGACCAGCAAGAAATGTGTTGGGACAGTCAAATCAAATTCCCCATTGCTTCGCCCTTCCCTACCTCATGAATCTCCTTCAGCTCCATAACCCTCTGAGATATCTGTGCTCATTTAACTCCAGCCTCTCGAGTACCTCTGATTACAATTGCTCCACTGGTAGTCTTCACTCCTAGGCTCAAAACTTTAGAAATAGTAAAGGCAGAAGTGAGAATCTCACCGTCAGATGGACTGAGACAGAGGTGAAGTTGGTGCCTTTACAGCGAAACAGATTCCTAACATTTGACTCTTTATTCCCCCTCTTTCTCTCTAAGCCATTAGATTTTGAAACTAAGGACAGCTACACGTTAACTGTGGAGGGAACCAATACTCACCTGGACCTGCGGTTTTTAAACTTGGGTCCATTCCGTGATATGACCAGGGTGGTGGTATCAGTTGAAGATGTGGATGAACCACCACAGTTTGAGATCAACTTCTACCAGGTGGAGGTTTATGAAGATGTCGCTGTCGGTACCACCATCCAAACCATTTCAGCAAAAGATCCAGATGCGGCCAACAACTCGATCCGGTATGATGTAGTGTTAGTGATGAGCCTCAGTAGCGAAAACCAAGAAACTGTGTCATTTTATCTCCTCAGCAGGTTCACCACTGAATAAACATTAACATCCCAACTGTTTGAGTTTCACCCACAACTGATCCACTGAAACAAAAACAGAAATCGCTGGAGATGCTCAGCGGGTCTCCAGCATCTGTAGAGAGAGAAAACAGTTACCATTTCAAGTCTGAAGAAGACTCAAAATGTTAACTCTGTTTCTCTCTCCAGCGATGCTGAGTTTCTCCAGCAATTTCTGTTTTTGCTTCAGATTTCCAGCATGCGCAGTCCTTAGAATAACAGAGTCCTTACAGTGTGGAAGCAGGTCATTCGGCCCATCAAGACCACACCGACCCTCCAAACGGCATCCCACCCAGACCCACACCCCCACCCTATCCCTGTAACGCTGCATTTCCCATGGCTAACTTACCTACCCAACACATCTTTGGACTTCTTTGTTTTGTGGAACTGATCGACTGAGCCTTTGTGACCCATCAGTAGCAGCTTTAGTGCCACAAATCCAGTGTGTTATTATTTATTTATTCAGGGATGTGCCACCACTGGCTGCCTTTGAGAAGGAGCTGGTGAGCTGATGTCTTGAACCAGGGCAGTCCGTGCCAGAGTAACCATAAGGTCTTACACCTTTAGGAGTATAACTTATGACCAAGTTCTCTTACCATTTCTCTGGATAGCTAGTAAGTTTAATTCGATCAATGCACAGATTACCATGGTAAGAAAGCTGGCTGCATAATGTCTGTCTCAGATTATACATTCTCTCTATCATATCTTTGGCACATTTCCAGCCCCTCCGTAATTTATACTGCATATTTATTTTCACTGCCAAACTCATCCCCCGAAACTTACTCCCTTGCTGCACAGCAAAGATGGTGTGAAAATGATCAGCACCTCTCAGTGCTGCACTCCCTAAAGTAGTGATACACAAATTTCTTTGAATGAAGAACAGCTTGTCAAATGGGTTAATAACTGTGGATTCACATTTCAATGATAATACTAAATGAGAAGCATAAAATGAATGTGTTGCACAAAAAAGAATGTTTGAATAACTTTTCAGAAAGCAGATATTTGTTTTTTGATGCTCTCCGCACATATTCCGTGCGCTCCACTCCGAGTTGATGTAGTAAACCCCCTTTGCACTTTGGCAGACTCTCCCCACTCATGCCTTCCTCCCTAATTATAGCTTCCTATACCCTCCAGGATCTCCTTTCAGTTTCTATAGACCTCAGGGGTCTGCACATCCCCAAGTTTGAAAACCACTGGCCTCGGAAATGCATCACAGAGTGTGATACAGAAAAGCATCTGGCATTTGTCAAACACATTGATCTCTCCTCTTCTGTGTGTTCTGTGGTGGTTGTGTTGTGGGCATATCCTGTGTATTTGTGTGTGTGATGTGTGTTTGTCTATGTTGTATGTGTGTGTTTGATGTGTGTGTCTCATACGAAGTGTGTATGTCTCTGTCGTGTGTGTGATATGCGTTTGTGTCATGTGCGTGTCGTATGTGTTCGTGTTGTGCATGTGTGTGATGTGAGTTTGTCTGTGTCATGCATGTGTGTGATGTTTGTGTCATGTATGTTTGTAATATGTGCTTCTGTCATGTGTGTATAATGTTTGTCTGTGTTGTGTGTGTAATGATATTATCTGTTGTGCATATGTGATGTGTTTCTTTGTGTTGTGCATGCATGTGATGTGTGTTTGTGTCATGCATGTGTTTGATATGTGTTTGTGTCATGTTTGTGTGTGATGTTTGGCTGTACCATGCATGTGTGAGATCTGTGTTTGTGTCATGCATGTGCATGATGTGTGTTTGTGTCATGCATGTGTGAGATACATGTGTTTTCCAAACTGCCTTGTCCTTGTAAATTCATCTAATGTGAATAAAGCCAGGATCTCCTTGTCATTCTTCAAGTTGCTAGTCTGATATAGAAACTGTAAATGGTCACTGGTGAAGATACTCAGAGATTATGTTTGAATTATAGTAACCTGGTAGAAGCCCCTGGGACAAAGAGGAATGGAATGTGCAAGATTGTCAATGACTATTCCTAAAGAGAAAGAATGTGAATGTCTTTGGGATAATAGAAGCTGAAGACATTGATTTGAACATATCACTTTTTCTCTATCTAGTAAAACCACTTCAAGTACTATGTGTTTACACAAACATCAGAATCAAAGAAACAAAGATTGTGTACACTAACTTGAAGTCATTGCCAGTTTTTCCTCAAAACCATGTTCTTTAATTTAATAAAGTGCCAGTTAATTTCTGTTTGTCCCTGGATCGGACAGTTTTACCAATTTCAATGTGGCTATGACTGTTGTTACCTGTGTAAGCCTTCCATGAAAGAACTGCTTAACAGGTGACAATCCCTACAGTTTCCTGTCTGCTGTCTGAGTAATGTGAGACTATATTTGGTCAAAGTGGCTCAACAGCACGTTCTCCAGATAAACGGTGTTGGGCAATAAATGCTAAGCTCACCTTGTGAAACCTTCATGCTGCGAATGAATGAAAATTAACTCAATGATTCACTGAATTATGCCCTTTTCCAGGTAAAATCACAGTGCACATGAGAGCAAGATGGTGGCCTGGGGGTCATGTGACTGGATTTGTAATCCAAAGGGCCAGGCTAATAATCCAGGGATATGGCAGCTGGTGGAATTGAAATCCAATTAGTAAAATATTTGGAATACAAAGCTATTCTCCCATGCAATTACCAGACATCTGGGTCACTAATCTTCTTGAGGGAATCTGCCCTCTTTATGCGGTTCATGCCTACATGTGACTCCAGACCCACAGCAATGTGGTTGACCCTTAACTACCTTCCAAAACTGACAAGGAAGGATGGGTACCAAACTCCATTCGAGGTCAATTAGGAATGAGCAACACACACTGACCTTACCAGGAATGCTCAGTTCCCATGAAAGAGTAAGAAAGAAATACAAAGTGGTCAAGACTTTCCCCCTTTCTGATTTTAGATGTTGTCAAAGAATCAGATGGTCCAATCTTTACAGATAATGATCCAATAGTTTCTCAGAGGATGGTTTGAGAACTGGAGTCATCATTGTCCAGCCAGTACAATTGATATCATGTTGTCCAAATGGTTCTGCTCAGATACATTCTGAATTTTGTACACAACTTGTGACAAGCCAACTTAATGAAGAATTCTGCTGGCACCAAAATCAAAATATTCTGGGAGATGGAACATTGTTCATTAAAGGTTAAGACATTGACAGACAGATCTATTGCCCACACCCCTAGATAAATAATTGGGTTAAGCTGTCTTTCTTTGTGGTTTCTAACCAGCCTCTATCTGTACCATAACAAACGTTCTGGCAAGATTCATTTTCACATCAAAGCCCCTTGTCCATTCTAACTGTCTTTGTCACAAAGGGACAGATATTGATCTTTCAGACAGTGGCCATGGGATACGGTCAAACCCCTCCCACCTCAACACTGACCCCTCCACCCACAACTATATTGAGGCATGGCAGACAACGTGTTACAAGGAGCATCAGCAGAATGTGTGCAGGAAAATGTGAGGAAACTCTTTCAAGGAAAGGGATTCATGGTTGAAGAGATCGCCATGGTTAGGGAGACTGGAAGGGCCAGTGAGCCAGAATATCGTTCTGAAACCCTGCTCCCCTGACGTCCGCTATGAATGGGGGTGACTGCAGTTTCCAATCAATTCCCAACCAAAATGGCATTCAGGGTCCTGTACCTATCACTGAGCCCTGATTTCCTATTGTCTGAATTAGACAGTGTTCTGGATTCCCAGAAATGGACACCACAGTCATGCTTGTATTAACGGAACACCGACCTCATTTCAAGGGAGTTACCAGGGAAAGGCCACTCAAGTTTGACCTGAGAGAGAATGCCTCCCATTGGCTGATTGCTTGGCTCCTTTTTTTAATTCCCCGACAGTTCATGGGCATTGCTGGCCATTCCAAGTCAGGATGGTGAGCGGCTCGGAGGGGAACTTGAAGTTGGTGGTGTTCCCATATATCTGCTGCCCTTGTCCTTCTAGATCAAAGTGGACATGGGTTTAGAAGGTAAACAAAAACTGAAATTACTGGAAAAGCTGAGCAGGTCTGGCAGCATCTGTGGAGAGAAATCAGAGTTAACATTTCAGGTCCAGTGACCCTTCCTCAGAACTGGGTTTGGTAAATTTTCTCTCTTCCTGTCAAACCATGTTTTTCCAACATTTAGAAATGTTTCACTCATGACAGGCAAAAGAATTGGCCAGTGTTCTAACCTTGTAAATAACAGTTTGTTGAGTGACAGCTTTTCTGTCTCTCGTATCCCATTATCTGTCCATGATTCTTCCTGACAGATAGGCTGTCTTCCAAGAAAACTCAGCGCCCATGCTGCCTAGAATGTTAAATGATGTTCTGACAGCAATTTCATCAATGCTACCCTTCCTGAAAGCAGACACAAATCTGTCAAGTTGTTCCTCATTGTAAAGTCCACTTGAATTCACAGCGTTTCATTGCAGCCATATCAAATTTGTTTTAGTCATTCATGGGATGTGGGCATCACTGGCTAATCCACGATTTATTGCCTATCCCTAAATCTACTTTAAAGTCACTCTAGTCCATGTTCCTGTCACTCAGTAAACGTGGGAGGAGGGATCAAGTTGAACCCTGCTTAGCAGAAGCTGCAAGCGAATGTTATCAATTGAGATCCCTCGGTTGAATTTCCTGCAGAGGGCCCAGTTGATTCCAAGCAGGCAATTGAGTCTTCCGCCTACAAGAACTGGGGGGTCCTTTAAATATGCCCATCAGAGTCAGGTGGCATTATCACAAATGTAATTATAATCCTGAACTCTGAATGGAGGTAAAGACAAGTGAAAGAGGGCCCAAAACAGAAGAGAACATTTTACAGGAAAAATGAAAAATATCAAATAATAATATAAAATATTATTGAATAGTGAGAGATTTCAGAGCTTCGGAAATGCAGAGGCATCTGGTTATCCTAGTGCATGAATCACATAAGGTTAGGAAGCAAGTATAGTAATTAATTTAGAAAGCTAATAGAATGTAATTGTATATTGCAAGAGGCATTGAATACAAATGTAAAGAGTTTATGCTTCAGTGTTACAGGTGAGATCACAACTGGAGCATTGCGTATAACATTGGTCTCCTTTTTCTAAGGAAGGGTGCAACTGTATGGGAAGCAGTTCAGAGAAGGTTTACCACATAATACCTGGAATGGATGGATCACCTTATGAGGAACAGTTAGACAGGCTAGGCTTGTATTATAATGTAGGAAGTATAGCAATACCATTTAGCTTAGAGTTTTGGATTTTGAACTAGTGGGATGTGGGGTTTTGTCTGTGTGTATGACAGGATTTGATAATTAACTTGTCAGTCTTTCTGGAGCCTTCCTTTTCCTTTAAGAAGAGAGAGAAAATCACAGGAATGATCATGGGAATTTGTTTGCATTGAGAGTGTTTTATGATCAGAAGGTGCAATTCTCTGCCACAAAAAATGCTTGAAGCCAAAACATTGAATGCTCTTAAGAAAGAGTTAGACATAGCTCTTAGGGCCACATGGATTAAAGGGAGGAGGAGAAAGCGGGAACAGGGGATTGAGTTGGATGATCAGCCATGATGATATTGAATGGCAGAGCAGGCTTGAAGGGCCGAATGGCCTACTCCTCCCATTTTCAATATTTTTATGTTTCCGTCCCTCCTTAACTAAGGAGACCGAAACTCTACACAGTATCCTAGGGAGACATTCAGGAATGATGAATGCAGAGCATTTTAAATCTCATGGAATAATATTTGACCAGTGATGGTTGAAACAAAAAAAAATGTCTGAGAAAGTTGGGTTAATTTTAAATTACATTTCATTGATTTCTTCTGATGCAAGAAAGATATACAGATTATTAATGATGCCTTTTCCTCTCCCCTTTTTCTGCCAATTTCAGATATTCGATTGACCGATCCACCGATCCCGCAAGATTCTTCTCCATTGACATAGCATCCGGAGCTTTAATGATTGCAAAGCCATTGGACCGAGAGCAATTCTCATGGCATAACATCACAGTGCTAGCAATGGAAATGAGTATGTACCCGAAGATCATTCAATATTTGATTAAAAATTGTACAACCCTTTTGCGCTAGCAGTTTGTGTTAATTCAGTTTGACTAGATGTTTCAGTCATGACGCAACATGAATTAAAAGGAGCTGGGGGCATGGAAAATGCGCTTGAGTGCCACATGTCGGGAGCAAGGGGCATTTCAACCAAGCTCCCAAACAGACTTTCAAGCAGTCGACAGTTTAGATATTATCTAGTGTGCAGCATTTAATAACATTTTGAAATGAAAAGGTTTGCTTTTTGATGAACATTTTCAGGATGAGGCTGCACTGAAGTTAAAACTGATGCATTCTCACGTCTGAGGATCAGTTAAGAAGCCTTTAATTAAGAATTTTATTATACCCTGCAGGGTCATTTAAAGATATTCATTTCCTCGAAGTTATAAACCTGCTATACTTTAGCTAAGTTAGGGCTATCTGACAAAGCAGGGTTCCTCCCATGGCAGGGAATGTATATCAGTAATTTAAGCATACAGCTTAGAACACCCCAAAAGATGCATTAAGAAATGTAAAGCAGCTTGGAGTATTCATTAGTAAATTCTGCTCTCGTGTTGGTCTAAGTTGAGGACTCCACTCTACAGAGAGTCAATGATTCTGTCACTCCCAGTTTCATGATGTATAACGCTCTTCCATTCAGCTTTGAAAAGTGGTAAGGATTTGTTGTGCCAACAATAGAGCGTATCCTGGCCTCATCACTTATTTTTCGCATTAGGGACTGACAGAGTAAGAAAATCTCTGCACCACCACTGAAAAATCGCGCACTCACAGTTTTCTGATGGTGTGTGGGAGTGTAGCCAGAAAATCACGATCAATGTAAGAAAACAAGTGACTGCAGCCCCTAGATCCTGCTCCACCATTCAATAAGATTGTGGTTGATCTACCTCAACTCCCTTTTCACTGACTCCCCATCTCCCACAATTCCTCAAGAAATCAAAAATCATCTGCCAATTTCAACCTGGAATACACTTATTGATGAGGCGGACATGATTTACTCTCCTGGGGAGAGAATTCCCAAGATTTACAAAAGTTTGAGTGAAGAGTGTCTCCTCATTTCAGTCTTAGACAATTGGCCCCTTAGCCTGATGTTGTACCGCTGTGTTTTTAAATCCCCAGCCAGGGGCAACATCTCAGAGTCTACCCTGGTAAATCCCTTCAGAACTGCGTATGTTTCAATAAGATCACCTCTTGTGCTTCTAAATTCCAGAGAATATAGGACCCAATTTACTCAACCTTTCATCCTAGGTCAACCCCAGAGACCATAACAATGACCCAGCTTCTTGATCAATGAACAACTCCATGACAAAATTCTAATCTAGTCATAAAGCACTGGGGATGAAATCTGTAATGTAACACCAACATGCTGATATCAATATTGCTTTTATTTTTATGAGTCGTTAGTCAATCTGCAGTGTCCCTGCAAGTCAGTACTCTTGAGTCTGACTCCAGGGATTTCAATGCAAAAGTCTTACACACGATGCCTAGAACAAAAATAGACCATTTGACCCAACCAGACACTGCTGTTTCTCATGCATCTGATGTGGAGGTGCTGGTGTTGAACTGGGGTGGACAAGGTCAGAAAACAGGTTTATTAAAAATCACAAACTTTCAGAGCCTCATTCCTTCTTGAGGCTCCAAAAGCTAGTGTTTTCAAATAAACCTGTTGGACTATAACCTTGTGTCATGTGATTTCTGACGTTATGCATCTGAGTTCTTCCTATCTTTCCACATCTAACTCCGTCAGCTATAATCTTCTGCCCCCTTCTCCGTTTTGCCTCTCCTTATATAAGTCTACACTTTTTGTTTCAACTTTTAGATGAACAATCATAGACATCAAATTATATGATGCATATAGAATAAGTCATCATAGCCAGAGCATAGAGTTTAAGAGCAGGAAAGTTATGCTGGAACTTATAAAACATTGATATGTCCACAGCTAGAGTATTGTGTGTATTTCTGGAAACCACATTATAGGAGTGATGTGACAGCACTGGAGAGGGTGCAAAGGAGATTTACCGAGATGTTGCCCGGGTTGGAGCTTTAGTTGTGTTGAGAGATTGGACAGACTGGGCTTGTTTTCCTTGGAGCAGAGGAGACTGAAAGGGTGATACGTTTGAGATATCTAAAATTACGCGGGGACGCAGATAGGGCGGACAGGAAGAAACCTTTCCCTTTGATGAAGGGATCAATGACCAGGGACATTGATTTAAGGTAAGGGGTAGGAAGTTTAAAGGGTATGTGAGGAAATTTTTTTCACCCAGAGGGTGGGAATCTGAAACTCTCTGCCTGTAAGAGTGCTAGAGGCAAAAACCCTCGTAACAATTTAAGAAGTATTTAGATGTGCACTTACAATGCCAAGGCATACAGGCTATCACCCAAGTGCTGGGAAATGGGTTTAGAATAGCTGTTTCTAACCAGCATGGATGCGATAGGACCAAAAGTCTTTTTCTATGCTGTAGACATATATAACTCTATGATTCTAATTCATAATAAAGATATAGATGATCACTAAAACAGAAGCAAAGTGTATAATAATAAAAGAATTACGCATTTATGATCATTTCAATATACAAATAATTCCAATATTTTGGAAACTGCAGGTCTCTTTCATTCAGAGAAAAAAAGGCTTCCACAATCTATATTTTATGTTTAAGTCCATGAAACAAACACTACCAGGTGGAGTCCAGTACATTCTTTATTGCTTACTTAGAATTAATGCATTCTGTGGAACCTTTGTTGCAGTGAGCTCTACATTCTCACTGTTCTCTTAGTAAACATGTTTGTCCTGAATTCCTGACTGGACTGCTTGATGGCTATCCCACACGGATGACCTCTAATCCAGACTCGCACTCCCCAATGTGTTCTGCGGCAATGCTGCACCATCAGAGACATCAAGCTGAGATGCCAGTTTCCCGGTTGACATTGTTCCAAAGAAAAGCAGGGGATTTATCCCTGCTCCTCTAGCTGATAACTCTCCCTTAATCACATCACTAAAAACCAAACTGTCTGATCCTCGCCATCTATTTATTTGCTGGAGCCTTTTCCTACATTAATGGCTGCCATGTTTCCCTACAATACACGTGAAAAATGCTTCATGGGCTGCAATTTGGAATATTGTGAGATTGTGAAAGGTGCTACATAAATGCACTTTCATTTCCTTTCTTTAACTCAGAATGAAAATGATTTCTGAAAAGTTTGGAAGGGTTTGAGATCAGAATGAGGTGGCAGAGCAAAAAAGTATTGACTAACGTGCATCTTAGACATACATGTCTGCCCTTTGCCAGCCAGACTCGAATAACGTTTAGACATTGAGGATCGATGAAATCAGCTGCCTCGATGGTGTTTGTTTTATTTCAGAGAACCCCACACAGATTGGGAGTGTTTCCGTCATGGTGAAAGTCCTCGATATTAACGACAATGCACCAGAGTTTGTGAAGGACCATGAGGCCTATATCTGTGAAAATGCTAAGCCTGGTCAGGTAAGGAAAAGATGGGACTAGGGTTATTTCATCAAGATTCTGTATGAGATTTGCAAGGCAACCTAACATCCAATGAACTGACTATTTGAAGCATTATGCCACGTTTTTATGGGTGGGACAAATTTTCGAATTTTTCTCTGCTCATTCAAAAACCTTTTTCTCCTGGGAACTCATATCTAGAAACTTTTTACACGCTGACAACTTTATAAAAGGTGGTCTCTTTAAAAATGAACTGGCACCTACCCAAGAGATGATAGAGAGCAGCTAATGTTTACTGGGGTATATATTTAGGATAACAAGGTATAGAGCTGGATGAACACAGCAGGCCAAGCAGCATCAGAGGAGCAGGAACACTGACGTTTCAGGCCTAGACCCTTTTTCAGAAATACATATTTAGGGGCTGATTTTCTGGTGGATTTCAAAAACAACTAGCCAATTTTCCCCAATAAGGGCAATTTGTCAAGAAGGGAGAAAACAGGCTTGAGTTTGTACTGTATTATGAAATACAAATAAAATGTTTCAGAAGATAGACTGACTCCCTTTTCAGTAAATGGATGATAAGCAGTAACACACAAACAGACAGCCATTCTGTTCATATGTTCTTGCAATTTCCTGATATTCATGGATCTTTGTTTCAAGTGTACAAATATGGTACTTGATTTTGTTTGGCCAATAGAGAACATTTCTTTTCTTCCTCAGACTTGACCCAATTCTGTGGTGGCTTGAATGGATTCACTTTGGCATGTCTCCATTCAACCTCTTCAGGATAATGATTCTACTTCCAATTACAATACATCATCTTGAGCTGTCAATTCATCCCTATATGCCCATAGGCTCTTGTAGCAACAGGGGTGTTCTTGAAGCTCTCTTACCATCTTTCCATCACTCGTTCTTGCAATACTTGGAGATTTGCATCTTGCTTGATAATTTGCTTGAGACTTAAGAAAGAGGCTTAGTCCTGAATCTCTTGTGACTGGTGATGTATTTCCGCAGTGGCCGCTGGAACAGTCTGGTACTTGTGGCTTTCCATTGCAGTAAGAGTGAATGGAGACGGCAGAAAGCATAAAGGACACTAAGTTTCCAGTGGCCTGTTACTTTAATTCTCCACCCAGAGGTGTGCTGTCACACTGAATATCTCTGTCCTCAGCCTGCTGCAGTGTGGGCGGATGGATTTGCCTGGTTGAGTGCAATACTAACAACTCTCGAGAAGCTCAACCTCATCCACAACGCAGCAACCCATTTAACCGCCACTCCATCCACCAACTTAAAATATTCACTTCCTCTACCACTGGTGCACAGTGGCAGCAGTGTGTACCATCTGCAAGATGCATTGCAGCAACTTGCAAGACTCTTTCAACATCACCTTCCAAATGCCTGATGTCTGTCTCATAGGGGCAGCACAGTGGCTCAGTGGTTAGCACCGCTGCCTCACAGCACCAGGGACATGGGTTTGATTCCACCCTTGGGCAACTGTGTGGAGTTTGCACATTCTCCCTGTGTCTGCATGGGTTTCCTCTGGGTGCTCTGGTTTCCTCCCACAGTCCAAAGATGTGCAGGCTAGGTGGATTGGCCAGGCTAAATTGCCTGTAGTGTTCAGGGATGTGTAGATTAGGTGGGTTATAGGGGGATGAGTCTGGGTGGGATGCTCCAAGGGTCAATGTGGACTTGTTGGGCTGAAGGGCCTGTTTCCACACTGTAGGGATTCTATGATTTGTAATACAGATAGACAAGGGCAGAAGACATTGGAGAACATCACAGCACACACACACGTTTCAATCAGTACAGAGCAGCATGGTGGCTCAGTGGTTAGCACTGCTACCTCACAGTGCCGGGGATCTGGGTTCAATTCCACTGTCTGGAGTTGTACATTCTCCCCACGTCTGCGTGGGTTTCCTCTGGATGCTTCGGTTTCCTCCCACAGTCCAAAGATGTGCAGGTTAGGTGGATTGGCCATGCTAAATTACCCATAGTGTTCGGGGATGTACAGGCTAGGTGAGTTAGCCATGGGAAATACAGGGTTGCAGTGATAGGTTAGGGGAGTGGGTCTGGGTGGGATGCTTTTAAGAGAGATGGTGTAGACTTGATGGGCTGAATGGCCTGTTTCCACACTGTAGGGATTCTACGATTCTATGAAATCACACACCATCCTGACTTGGAACCATATTACTGTTCCTTCACTATCACTGAGTTAAAAACCTGCAAAGCGTTCCCCATTAACACTGTGGTTGCCCTAACTGACCAAGAATGCAGTCGTTCAAGAAGGCAACTGACCACTACCCTCTCCTGGGCAACAAATGCTGACCTTTCCAGCGATGCCCACATTTTCATGAACAAATTTAAAAGAACGATGAGAAGTACGATACAAAATTCTTACTTACGGCAATTTTGCACGAAACCAATCCCTTGTCAATGACCAGAATAGATCATCGCACCGTGTGTACAGTTTCTGAGGCAGTTGTGAGACGTCATGTTGTTTGCTGTAAATTTGCATCATCTTTTTGTGATAAATAAAATGCACAGAATCTGCTGTTGACAACAGAATGACTTTTGTGAATTTGCTTCTTTTTCAACAGCTCATTCAGATGGTCAGTGCAGTGGACCTGGATAATCCTCAAGGAGGTCATCACTTCTACTACAGCTTAGCTCCAGAAGCAGTGAGCAACCCAAACTTCACTGTGCGTGACAATCAAGGTACAATTACATTTAGCTCTGCAGCTCATTAATAGCACACTGCAGCTTTTCTTGGGGTCAGCTATTTGGTTTGAAATTCACATGAGAGTGATACATAAACAGAAAGTTGTAAAGAGATAGTAGGAACTGCAGATGCTGGAGAATCCGAGACAACAAGGTGCAGGGCTGGATGAACACAGCAGGCCAAGCAGCATCATAGGAGCAGAGAGGCTGACGTTTCGGGCCTAGACCCTTCATCAGAAAAGGGGGAGGGGAAGGGGGTTTTGAAATAAATAGGGAGAGAGTGGGAGGCGGATAGAAGAGGGATAGAGGAGAGGATAGGTGGAGAGGAAACAAACAGGTCGAAGAGGCGGGGATGGGGCCAGGAAAGGTGAGTGTAGGTAGGGAGTTAGGAAGGGGATAGGTCAGTCCAGGGAGGACGGACAGGTCAAGGGGGCGGGATGAGGTTGGTCGGTAGGAGATGGAGGTGCGGCTTGAGGTGGGAGGAGGGGATAGGTGGGAGGAAGAACAGGTTAGGGAGGC